ATTCACTAGTGTAGATGGCGATTGGACTGAAGTCGACAAGATTATTGTTAAACCTTTTGTAAAAAACCAAAAAAGTTTTATGTATGCAGTATATAAACAGCAATATCTTGAGTATATCGAGTATCAAGAGATACAAAAGGTTTGCATGGATACATTTATTATCTTGTTTGCTTGTCATAAATGTCGACTTACTATATTCCGTATTCAATTTGTAATTAGGCTTTCACGTTTCTTAACAAAAGATTAAAACCACTTGAGCATCTTCAAACAACTCCTAACGAATTTAAAGATTTGTGTTATTTGCTAACAGCGAAATCCGTCCATGATGCGCCATCGTTCAAGAATTGGGAAGGAATCGGTCCTGCCAGGTAAATAAAATAATATTTTAATATCTAATTTAATAATATTTAATAACGTTTAATTTAATTGATAATATTTAATAGGGAGAAGTTGGTAGAACAATTTCGAGACCTTTTAAATTTTGACAATATGGATAAGGATGGTACGCGTCTTATATAGAATATATAGACTGGAAACCTTGAAATTTTTTCTTGGCCATTCTTCTTTGCGTTCGTGGAAATATAGCAGAAACATTCAATGATTTCTCACCGAGAAAGGTTTCGAATATATGCCGCCCAATCGACTTCTTACGTTGCTTCAACAAGCTGTTAAATACCAAATCGAGTGTTCAAGATATCATCCACGTGTAGCACCAAGCGTAAATACGTGAGTTTATATATTCTAATTACATTATAATTTATTATTATTATTTTGTAACTAATTGTTTTTAATTAATTAATTTATTTTTATGTTTATTTTTTTCTTTTATAGGTTATTACACGATTACTCCAGTTTTATAATACCTAATGCTCTTCACTCGACCTTTGTTGGACATAAAGGTAATGTGAAATGTGTAGAATTTATTGGAGAAGAGGGAAGAGAAATTGTTAGCGGATCCAGGTAGGTTACAATATATAATAGCACCATTCAAATCAACATAATTTATTTATATTTTTAATTCTTTATAGTGATAATACCTTAAGAGTTTGGGATATCGGAAGTGCAAAGGAAAAAGGTATTTTAACGGGTCATGAATCACGTATTTGGGATGTATCATCCAGTAAAAATGGCTCAATGATATCAAGCGCCAGCGGCGATGGGACTATAAAGGTTGATTAATGTAATATTGTGAATTGTTTTAAAGTTATTCACGATTACATATCTCAGTTAACTAATAATCTCAGCTGTGGGATATGAAAACGAGCAAATACACATGTGTATCCTCATTAACCGGTCATTCTGGTGATGTCTACACTGTCAAATTTCATCCTGGTGATGCAAGTATTATAGATATAATATTATTGTATTGAATTGCGTATTTTAAGTTTATTAATACTGTATCTTTTCATCTCATGAAGAATCATATTGTTACTGGAGGCTATGATAAGACCGTTAGACTTTACGATGTTTCTACCGGTAAATTGGTAAAAATGTTTACGGGACACCAGTTATCCGTATCGAAAGCCATATTTAACCCTTTGGGCAATTTGATAATTAGCGGGTAAAGTTTATACTATTCATATCGTGTAGTTCAATTATTTGAACAATAATGTTTTTTTTGACATTTCTCTTATTTCTCTTGCATACTACCAGATCAAAAGATAATTCAATTAAATTTTGGGATATTATATCGGGATTATGTGTTCGAACAATAACATCTCATTTAGGTGAAGTAACATGTGTTGGAATGAACTTTAACGGAACATTATTATTAAGTTGTTCAAAAGATAATTCTAACAGATTATGGGATGTTAGAATGGTATGATACACATTTTCTATTTAAAGAGATTTTTTTTTTTATATTCTAAGCATTACATAAATTTAGGTACGCCCTGTAACAAGATTTAAAGGACATCAGAATACTTCAAAAAATTTTATTAAAGCTGGATTTGCAAACAAACCATTAATTGTTGGAGGATCAGAGGTAGAAAATTTTCATCGTTTAAATTTGATTGTTTTAAATTCTACTCATTACTTCATCTTTTGTCATGATAGGACGGGGTTGTGTACATATGGGATCAGGATACTGGAGAAGTATTGCAAAAATTGCGAGGGCATGCTGGTATAGTCTATGATACAATTTGGAATCCCAAACAAAATTTATTTGTCAGTTGTAGTGATGATAAAACCTTAAAGTCTTGGTGTTATGATGAAAATTTGCCACTAGAGTTGTGAAAAAAGATAACAAAATTTGATATAGCGATATTGATATATGTCGTATTAATTTAAATGATGTTCACGTGATAAATGCTCTTTTATTTCTCAATATATAATACGTATATAAATGGTATTAATTTATTAGTCATTTTACATTATAGTTATGCGTAAATACTAAGCCAAAGAAATTTTACAATTGAGTAACAATATTATTGGTCTGAACATTTAAGGAATTGATTTTTTTTTTGTCCTGATCTATGCAAAATAAGCCTTTTATTCATACCCAAGGGTGCATGACTCTTCTTGTTTGCATGACTCATATCAGATAATCTTCAGTCAGGATATATATTGTTGATCAATGGGCGGTGTTATAGCATTGTGTATAGTAATGTTTCGTTGTTATCTTAATATCGACATTGCGTTTCTTTATAAAATTTTTCTGTCAACAATGTTAGTAGTAGGTTTATAGGTTTGAACATAAATAAAATTCATATAATAAGCCGTTCATATTATTATATTAACTTTCAAATATTGATACATACCTTTTTCTTAACTCAACGTGACTGATATTCCGTACATTCATATTTAATTTATGTTAATATATTTAATATTTTAATAATTTTAATGAGATTAAGAAGTTATGGACAAATAAACTAGGATAAAGTAAAGAGGTATATGGGCTCAGCACCAGCTTTGTTATCACATCAAATAAAGGCTTATTGTTTTTTATAAAGCATTAACATTTTGTAACCAAAGGTTGCCGAATATTTAATACGTGTTTCAGGCATATATATTGAATTGCATCATTTCCGTGTTCCGTTTTATCGGAAGTTTGGACAGCCGCCATTGCGCCCAATCTTGCCTATTTGATTATCTATAAATGCTCTCCACGTCAACCGGGTTCTATCAACTTACACTAGGTCTAGGTGTTTACTCCCACGAAATTTCCTTAGATCCATTTTCACCTTTTTACCTGCGGACGCAGATAATTTTAATGTATGTATGTGTTTAAAATCATTACGCAAACTCCAATTCGCGATTCTTTAAAGATATTTCTGGAAATAAAAAGTTTTTATATTTTTATAGCGTGTGCTTGTGCCAGGAATTTACTTATGAAATCTTGAAGATCGGCATCTCGCGTAAAATGTCCATGGTTTACTAATTTTTTGAAAATTTTCATCACAGTTTTGTTTAATTTTCGCGTTTATCTTATCATTTGATTGCAAAAAAAAATAAAAAAATACTTGTACAGAAACAGCGCAATTGTTTATTGTACTTTAAAGTTATGGACGCTCTTCTACCGAGATCCTCCTTACTCTATAAATAAATATATATTTATATATTATTTGGTTGTGATACAAAGGTAAACTATTTCTAATATTTTTTCTGATATTTTTGATAACTCACGTGATGAATATATGCTGCAAATTTGCAGATAATCTTTTTTTTTTTAAATCTTATCAACAAAATCATATAATCATAGCAAACTAAGTATGTACTGTACTTACGTGTTATAGTAATTAAGAATTTAGTAATTAAGAACTTACAAACTAATGTGGTAAATTGTTAGAGGCACAACATATCTTATTAATTTGGCTCGTGGCCAAATTCATCTTTCCTAATCGTGTATATACTTTGAGAAGGGATGAAACTTTGAGAGCGAGAATCGAATCAGGGACATGTTGACAAACAACCATCATATGATTTTCAAATACCCGTATGATTCCTATACATAAATAAGGTAAATAAAAAAGAATACTATTTTGATCATTCGGATATTGCATTATTATTTCGACACCAAGAAGGAATTTCTAAATTTCTGTAACGCATTGAGATGCACGAATGTATATGCTATCTGCGAGTTTATCTGATGATACCAATGTTCCAGTTTTATTGATCGCTTTGACGATTTTTGGGCAGATAGTGATTGACGCAAGTGATCTCATCCATCTGACATAACTTTTTTCTCCTTGCAGTGATAATCATGCCTTAGAATGAATTCACGTCAGCAGATTGATCATATCATTATTACTATTGAAAACCATACGAGTTTTTCACCGGATCATTATGGCATATTAACAAGAAAATATCTTGATACTATAAGGATTCATGATTACCACTTTCCATAGTACTTGACTAAAACTAGAATCAATGTGATACAATATGAAAACTATTGTTAGTCTTTTTTCGTTTAAGGTCGTTTGATTGTAATATCATGACTAATTTTTTGTGTATGATCATTTTAAACGCATTTACGGACTAATGCGTTATCTTTTTTCAAATTAATGAAAATTTTTAATTTTTTTTTCTCCCAAAGTTCCCACAAAATGTTAACTGCATTATAGCAAATTCTATTCAATCCATTTTGTGATACAGAATCATTATGATATGACAATAAAAAACATGTGCATATGTCAAATTTGACATTTTTATTATATTTAATGAAATATTCATTAATGGTTAGAATAAATGAAATTAATTTAACCTTTAATTGATCCGCAAAAAAAAAACCTTAACTTCCCACTAAACAAATAACCTAGCATATAAATTCTAATTGTCGATTTTCGAATGAGTCAAGACTGAAAATAGCATTTATTATAATCTCTATGGCAATTATTAATCGGAATTTATGGGTGCCGATTATGAGGGGCTGTGCTTGCCGGCATCCAACAAAATATTCCATGACGAAAAAAAAAAGCTTACGAGATCGTCTCTTTTTAAAAAAAATATTCGTTTCGAGGTGATTGATTTTACTTACAGTGCTTATTTTTTTCATCGTTACGTTTTAATACCGGATTCGCATACATCACAAGTATCAAAAAAATTACTGCATATTATTTAAAAAAAATTCATGTCATGGCGGTGTAAATTTGTTGATTTGTGCATTTGGTGGGCGCAATATTTTTTTTTTTTTCTCACTGGATCGGCAGTGAAAAAAAAGGACACTCTACACATTACGGATCGCACCAGGAAAGTAAAGAGTGGATCAAATTACTCATATTTCTTGTCATCATTACTTTTAAAGAGTGAACCGTCAAGTAAAGAGTGAATTAGCGCGTGAAGAACAATTTTTTATATTAACTATTGATAAATTAAAATGTTAATTATTTTTATTGGTTCCAAAAATTATTATATGATCAAACTTATTCTTTTTGATTAAAACAAGTTTTTTATTCTATAAAACTTGTAAGTTTTTTTTAAACTTTCTTTGTAATACGACACAACTCTATTTTTCCTGAAAATCTCTAATAATCAAGTTTAACAAATCAGTAACGCGCAAAAAAAAAAAAAAAAAAATTTTTAAAGTAAACTATATAAAAAAAAAAAAACCAGTTTTTTTTTTTTTTTTGACAAAAAAAAAAAATTATTAAAATACTAGCCTCCTTGACAAATTTTTTGAATTTTTTTTTTTCGAGTTCTTCACTTTATGCCCGTTTGTCTGCAATTTTCTTTCGCTCGCATTACGAAAAGTAAAATACGGCAGTCATTTGTCAAATACTTGAAAATTCTTTCCCCTTAACCAAAAATTCGCTTTCTGCCTCTCAAGGCTTCCCTTTCCACATCCGAACTCCGCCACCCGTTCACAAAGTACACGACAACGCCTCTTTGTACCTGAAAGAAAAAAAAGCTCTTACTATTTTTCCTTTAGAATAATGAAACAACAAAAAGAAACAATTGAGGCTTGTTCGGTATTAGCTCTTGGTCGCCCGAGCTCAATGCCACAAAATTATTCTTCGTCAGAAGATATCCAAAGGAAATACTTACCTTATTACAACTCTGACTTGAGTTGTTCGCCTGCTTCAATGATAGAACCGTTCTCTCTATCTACGGAGGGTAATTACTGTTATTATCCTCCATTATTTTCGTTAGGGCCACCGACTTCCCATACTTTGTCTCCGGAATCTTCATCTCCTGAAACTTGCTCTGATCTAGACCTTGATCTCACTGATAGTTTCTCGGCGGACTCTCCTCCTTCTTATTTTACAGATCCTTCATTTCCAATTAAAATGGAGAATCTACATCAAGGTTCATTAAATAATGACCATGATTATAATGTTGCAATGGCCATGGCAAAAGAAATGCCAATTGGTCATTTCTCTCCATATACTACACAAGGTACAATACAATCACACGTTTATTATTATGACTAATTTTTTTTTATATATATAATTTTAATTTTTTTTTTTTCTATAAACATTTTTCTTGTTTGATGATCTTTTTTAGGGCCAATGATTCCTCATCCATTGGATTGCTTTTCTATTCCAACGGGTGCCGAATCACCTTTCGTCGGTGTTATTCCAACTTCACAAGAAAAGATTTCCAATCTTTCCAATTCGGCCACAGACCCATTATTCGAAATGGATGCGAAATCTTTGTTCCAACGTGAATTATGTCTCGATGCCAGAGACTATTTTAGTGCCGACATGGCCTCGGAAGCTGCACGTCGCAAATCACTCGATGACGCTATCTTTCTCCGCAAGATCGCCTCAACTCCAGTGAAATCTGAAGTAGCCTTCCAACAGCACAATCGCCGCAAATCTTTACCTGGTAATGAGTTGACTCAACGTCTTCATATTGAAACTTTGGGAACCACTACCAAACAGCAAAGAAAATCTACAAAATCGCTTGCCCCTTTTGCCTGTCCTCATGAACATTGCCCTAAGACCTTTACTCGGCAATACAATCTGAAGTCACATCTTCGAACCCACACTGATGAACGACCTTTCGTGTGTAACTATCCTGGCTGCCCTCGAGCCTTTGCACGACAACATGATCTTAAACGTCATCAGAAACTACATCTTGGATTAAAACCCCATGTTTGTGGTAATTGTGGTCGCGCTTTTGCGCGCTTGGATGCACTGAATCGTCATTTAAGAAGTGATAATGCGACTCAATGCGCTCAAGCAACACTGGCAAATCCAACGGCTGGCAAGTTATTTAAATCAGTTAACATATAGAACAAAAAAACAACAAAAAAAAATACAAAAAAAAGAACAATTATCTTTGTTGCTTTAAAATTATTTTTCTTTTATTCTTTAATGAAGCATGCAAAAAAAAAAAAGAAAAAAAAAAAATACAAAAAAAATACAAAAGAAAAATGTAAACAAAAAAAAAATTATATATTTTGTTTTTTTTTTTCTTATCCCCTTTTATGTTTCCCTTTTCTTTTTCCTATCCCCCACTAATTTAAAATAGAGCAATCTATTTATCATATTAGTGAGATCTTTGTATATTATTTCGTTTAGATTTTCTTTCCCACTCAGAATTGACTTCCAAGATGTTGTCAATTCTAATTTGTATATTTCGTTCCATTTTTTTTTTTTTTTTTTTTTTTTTTTCCTAGCGTTACAATTCTTGTATATAGTTTAGCTACATAGGTAAATCTGGAGGATATGTTAGCATTTTGGTTCTATAAAAAAAAAAAAAAGAGAAAAAATCGGTTCTTTGTACATATACTATAAAGAATATTTAAGCAACTTTGCTATCTAATGCTTAGAAAAAATTCAACGGTCGTTGTATGATCCCTGTACTTCACTAGTTGTTTTTAAGTTTTGATAAATTTATTTAGTCGTTTAGATTTTTTTTTCCTTTAGTTCCCCTAAATGAAAAGATTTTTTTTTGTATTTTTTTTTTTTTTTTTTTTTTTTTTTTTTTTTTTTTAATTTAAAAAAAAAAAAAAAAAAAAAAAAAATCTAAAAATCAAGAAAATCGAGATACTTAGTTTCAGAG